AGTTTAGTCGTGATGAGTCAGTATGAGTCAATATTAATATTCATACACATCCCATCACGTGTATGGGACAGATCGAATCAAACTCAATCCATTTGACCAGATTTGCTCAAATATATCGAGACAAAGCGAGTCTTTATGGGTTAATTTTTTACATGCCTAAATGCCTAATCTTGACACATTTTGAACATTTAAAGTGGATTCAGTTCTCAGATTCACAACTATAAACATATGAACTAGACCAATATCGAATATAAAAATATCATAAATATTTCCCTGGTCTCAATTTGAGTTGCAAAATTGACCTTTTGAGTTTTGAGGTCAAACAAACTCATTTTATTCATTTAATTAAAATATTAATTATTAATTAAATTTTAATTTGGATTTTACAACTTTATAAAGGTTTTAATTTAGTTTCTTACAACAACCGTCGACTATATGTAATAGTAATAGATCTCAATGTGAGGGGTAATAATCATATATACCTCCAATTTTATACGAAGTACTTAATATTACCTTTGTTCTAATAGACATTCTCGAGTTTGTGTTAGGTGTGAAATAAGAAAAATAAAAAATGTATGAGTGAGAGTTGTGCAGTGAAGAGGAGAAAAAAGTATGCAGAACCACAAATCATTTACTTTGAAGGGAAAGTAAATAATTTACTTTCCCAAAATATGAAAGAAAAGTAATAAAGTTTCTCGGATAAACAAAAAAAAAGTTAAAAAAATTAAATGAGAAGAAGTAAAAAGTTCTAGTATAAGTTTGGGCACTCCCCTCAAATTAAATAGATCTGGATACTAAGCTAAACTAATGTGGGTGGATGTTACTAGAGTCTTAAGCCACGAGTGCATCCGTAACTTGAAGCCTCGTTTAATGAGAAAATTTCTAAAAGAGAAGTAAAACATAAATAAAGTGTATAAATAAATTTCCTAAGACATTCATGTTTTAAGTTTTCTTCCTAAAACATGAATCATTTTCTCGTAATTGGAGATGTTTTAGCTTTTCATAAATCAAATAAGACATAGCTCGGGATTAAATTATAGTTACTCCCAATTTCTTTTTCTTAAATGTGTTAATTCATTCTTTGGAAAGAAAATGAATTGATGAAAAATCCTCAATAATTATTGTCAAAATGTCATTCCGTACAACACAAAATGTTGTCAAGTGAGAATTCATATAAAACAAATGCTTTTGAGTGGCCTTTCAATGATTTTCCAGCAAGACCATATGATCTGATATCATTTCCAGCTTTACAAGAGCAACATGATATAGACGAGAGTCAAGCATTTGGTATGCGATTTGTGTTAGGGCCGAGTATAATATTGGTATTATCATATTGCCAAAGATGGCAATTTTTAAATAATCTAATGCAAAGTTTGAAAATTACAGATGTCATAGGAAAAGTGGAATATCCTAAACCAGAGAAGGTAGTTAAACGAAAGAATGGTTATTCAAGGTTAAAGGAGTTGGTTGTAACTGATGCTGAGTAAGTATGTTTAAGTTTGTAACAGGCAAAAGTACTACTATAATGAAATAAGTACATATTATATTCAATACTTGATTATTATTTTTTTGATATGGAAGTAAACAATGCTTGACTATTTTTTTGTAGGGGGCATACCATTGTGTTTTCACTTTGGGGTGACAAAATGATAGATGAATACAACTCTTTCCCTCATCAAAAATAAGATTCTACTATAATTTTGCTACAGCGTTGCCGTGCTCACAAATATCAAGGTCAGTTTGGTGGGGGGGAAATTGAGAAAAAATTGTCAATATATACTTTGGTAATTGCATGGATTTTATAATAAAAATCACTCATATACAAAATTCTGAACAAATAAGAATTTTTTTCACAATTATTATGTGTTAACAAATCAATAAAGTAAAATAACGTAAATGCAGGAATGGTGTACGCATCTAATGTACATGATGCCACTAAGATGATTGTAAATGGTGATATGAGGAATTCAGAGATTTGAGATCAAGGTATTATATTGTTAAGGTTAAACCATTTCGAGAAATGTAATTTATACATTTCTTCTGTTTTATATCGCAATTAAATTAATCTCTCAATTATGAAACAGACTGCCTATTAACGGTGTTGGTCCCGGTTATACTGGATACAGTCTAGAGGGGGGGTGAATAGACTGTATTGGTTTTTAGCTTTTAAAACTAAGTACCAGATTTTACAGAATAGCCTGTTCTGTTGACAGAACAGACTGGCAGCGGATGGGGTTCTGGTAGGGAGTTCTGTTGATTTAGCCTCAGAGAAGCAAAGGCAGTAGGCCTTCTGTTAACTCGTAGAACAAGTTCTGCTGAACACAGATACCAAGTCTGAGGAGTTAGACAGTTCTATCTAAGTGCAAATATTAAAGCAGTAAGTAAATGACACCAGGGATTTTTATAGTGGTTCAAGGAACAACTTGTTCCTCTAGTCCACTGTTCCACTAAGCTGTAAAGACTTCCGTTTACAATGCCTTAGCCCTATCACTTAAGAAGCTCTCCACGTCTTCTTCAAGTGTAGATGTCTCCTGGGATGCACTACCTGGCTTCCTTTAAGACTGGTCCTTTCACTGAGCTTCCTGGAAGTATCACCACTTCACTACTCCAGTTACTTGGACGTTCTTCTTGTAGCAAGAAGAGTTTCTGTTAACACAGGGGTTCCTCCAACTAGCTTCGTTACAAAGGATTTGTAAGTGATGAGCTTGAAGAGTTGAAGAACACTTGGAACTTTGCTTGGGTTGGAAAAAGTATTTTTCCAACTTCTGCCTTCTCTTGTAGAAGATGATGAAGTGTTAATCTCAAGGAGGCTTTTTGCTTTTCAGAGTTTGAATTTCTTGTATGAAGAGTTGTAGCAATGGTTAGCAAAAATTGCAAAGTTATCCGGTTGTTCTTCGTAGTGTATCTTTTATACTGAGGTTGTCTTCCCGTTGGAGGAGTAGGAGGACAACTGCATTAAATGAGCGATCAGTTGACTTGACCAGTAGAGCCCGGTAAAGTTGGCGGGTTACTATTTTGGGATAAAGTATTCCTGACATTGCGGCCAATCATCTGCAATTACTCTACGGAGCATGGGGAGCATTAAATGAGCATTTAATGCGCGTACTGTAGCTTTTCCGTTCAATACTCCTAGCCGTTGAAGGAATCTTTCAGTTGATTTCCCGGTTTTGTGGAATTCTTCTAAGTGTCAGACCTTCTGGTGTCTTTAACTGAGAGTTGAACAGAGGAGGTCTGGAGCACTTCTGTTGAGAATATATCCAACAGAGACCCAGAAGGGTTTCTGTCAGAGTAAAGGCTAACAGAGACCCTGAGGTCTTCTGTTCTGAAGCAAGGAACCAAAGGTCCTCTGGTCAATAACGCCTTAGAAGGGTCTTCTGCTCTTGGAGCCCTTCTGCTCAGAAGGTCTTCTGTTCTGAAGGCATTCTGCCAAGTCGATTACACTAAGAACTTTACAAATGAAAATTCTAATACATTAAGTCTAAAAAGGGGTACTCTAAAGTCCTAATTAATCTAGAATCATCAAAATCTAAATACAAATATTCCTTACAAACAGAAATGCAAATCTTGCACTAACAGTGTCATCTCAAACAACTTATGGTGATGACATAACTACAAGAAATGTGGAATTAATCACAATTGATGATTTGTTAAAGTTGATTGAGGTAGAAAAATACATATGCATGTGTGTTTGTGAATATATGCATAATTGAGGAACTAATAAGACATTTTGTAGGATCGCAAACATTGTGTTTTAGCTGAGATCTTCATGATAGATAGCAATAAGGACCGGTGCTACCTTTCTTGCAAAGAATGCAATCGAAAAGCTGAGAAAATAGGAGACGGTTTTCATTGTTCAAATTGTAATGCTAATGAAGTTAGGCTCTGGTATGCATTATAATTGTAGACATATTTTATTTAGGCAATGGACAATAACCTGTAATTAAATTTAAATAAATTTAATGTTTTGTAGGTATAAGGTCAATGTCCGAGTGATGGATTCCACAGGCAGCACAACATTTGTGTTATGGGTTAAGCAGATGACCGATCTGATTGGGAAGAGTGCAAATGCACTGAAGAATGAAATAGAGAAGGTTGGTATTTAGTTTGTTGTTTATGTTAAAAGTTTTAGTTTGATGTAGATGTTGATGTAAATTTCATAAACCATACAGAAGGAAGTTGGTCCAGATTATTACCCGACAGAGATAGAAAGATTGGTGGACTCTCAAATGCTCTTTAAAGTGCGTAGCAAACAAGATGATAGGAATTTCCGGGAAACAAGAACTTTTAGTGTCCTTAAAGTGAATGACGATTCCACTGTTATTTATCTTTTAGTGTCCAGATTTATACCCTTTTTTAGTGGCAGAAACACCTAGAAAAACACATTTTTTTCCTCTAGGATCAAACTTACTTGCAGATCTATCTGGATTTTTGATAAACACTGTGCAACCAAAAAATTTTAAAGGAAGGGTGTTTACCAATCTATTTGTAGGAAAGAAGTGTTGTAGTGAACTAATAGGACTTTTAAATCCTAAAGTTTTAGATGGCATGCGATTAATTAAATAAGTTGCATGTAACACTGCTTCTCCCCACAAATATTTTGGTATGTTTGTTGAAAACATGATTGCACGAGTGACTTCAAGCAAATGTCTATTTTTCCTTTCTGCAATTCCATTTTGAGCTGGTGTATTGACACAAGAGCTTTGATGAATAATGCCTTTTTCAGTAAAAAAGTTGTTTAAAGTTTGAGAAAAATATTCACGGCCATTATCACTTCTTACCATTTTAATTTTGGTATTGAATTGAGTTTGGACCATAGCATAAAATGTTCTAAATATTTTCTCAACTTCAGATTTTTCTTTGATTAAAAATACCCATGTGACACGAGTATGATCATCAATAATAGTTACAAACCATCTCTTTCCCTTTAAAGTTGGTATTCTAGATGGACCCCAAATGTCACTATGTACCAAGGTAAAAGGGCTAGTAGGTTTATAACTGTGGGGTAAATAAGTGTTTCTGTGATGTTTTGCAAGTGCACACATATCACAATTAAACAAAGAAGCATCTTTATTCAGAAATAATTGAGGAAACATCTTTTTTAAATAATAGAAACTAGGATGTCCTAGTCTATAATGAAGTAAATACAACTCTTTATTATTTGAAAAAGAAACAGTTTGCAAACAAGCATTTCTTGGACCTCTTTTATTAGATTGAGTTTCTCCATCAAAGATATAGAGTCCATCCTCCTCCTTAGCACTGCCAATCATCTTCCCCGATGTCAGGTCCTGAAAAATGCAATAAGAAGGATAAAAAATGACACAACATTGTAGATCTTTAGTTATTTTACTAACTGAAGTAAGATTGCAGGATAGATTAGGGACATGAAGGACTTTGGATAGATTCAGTGATGAGGAAATACTAATATTTCCCATCCCTGCAATGGCTGATAGAGAACCATCTGCAACCTTAACCTTTTTATCTCCTGCACTAGGTATATATGAAGAAAAAAGATTTGAAATAGAAGTCATGTGATCAGTAGCCCCTGAGTCAATAATCCAGGTATTTTTAGATTTCCCAGAACAAAAAAATGATGAATAGGTACCATTTTGGGCATAAGAACAAGAGGAAGATTCTGGGTTGGATTCTTTCTGGGAATTTTGGGTTTTCTGGGAATTAAGGAAGTTAAGAAGTTGCCCTATCTGCTCCTGAGTGAATGAAAGCTGATTGAACTTGACTTGTGGTTCTTGTTGAGTCTCAGTCACAGTTGTTTGTAGGGCCTTCTCAGTTTTTTTCTTTCCCGGTGGTTTGCCATGAATTTTCCAACAAGTCTCCCTAGTGTGCCATAATTTCTTGCAATGATCACACCAGGGTTTTTTCTTGTCATCACTCCTAGCCACCATTGTTGAAGAGTCCCCAGATTCCTCATTATGTACTGGAATGCTGTACATAACCTTCTTCCTGCTATCCTCCATCCTGATTTCAGAAAATACCTCCCTGATAGAGGGTAGAGGTTTTTTTCCAAGTATCCTCCCCTTAACTTCATCTAGATCTCTATTAATTTCTGCTAGGAACATGTAGACCCTATCATTTTCCTCCCTTTTTTTGTGTCTTGCTAGATCCTTGGGACTCTCCCACTTCTCATCATCATGGCACTGATCCAACTCTTGCCATAGGGATACCATCTCATTGTAGTAAGAGATGATATCTCTATTGCCTTGTTTGGACTGCCACAACTTTGTTTTTAATTCAAAAATCTGAGAAGAGTTCTCAAGATCTGAGTAAGTTTCCTTAATGGAATTCCATACCTCCTTTGCAGTTTTCATGAACATGTGAGGTTTGACAATTGATGCATCCATTGAACTTAGAAGCCATGTTGTCACCAAGGAATTTTCTGACCTCCAGACACTGTAGCCATCATCACCAGTTTTTTTCTCCTCTATTTCACCAGTTATGTACCCTAGCTTGCCCCTTCCATCAATAACCAGCTTGACAGACTGTGACCATTCGAGATAATTTGTGCCATTCAATCTATGGCCGGTAATGAGCATAGATGAATGAACTGAGGTCTGATAGTTTGTCATTGAGCTATTTGGGGAGTTAGGGTTATGGGTTTGTGAGTGGGGAGAAGAGTCAGATTGCTCGGTTTCCACCATTGTGGTGTTTAAACAACCTTCTCTGATACCATGTAAGTTTTAGGAATAAAACTTCCTTGATTGAATGAGCCATTCGGCCAGAGTATAAATACAGTTTGTACAGATAACTACAAGCTGGTACAGATCCTAAAAATTAGGATCTAGATAACTATGAGCTTATCTACAACTAACTAAGTCTATCCGACCCACTTATGTACATCAATCTAATCAGGAAAAATAATGTAACATTTTTCTAATAATGTAACATTTTTCTACATAACCAAATCAACCCGTTTCCCAAGATCACACAGTAAAAGAAGTGGCCGTTTGGTACAGACTTTTTTGGCTCATCAGCTTAATCAGTCATTTTTTTTTATCATGCACTAATTTATTGCTGTGCATGCTGCATTGGTTACTAATGGAAAAAGTAGGCCGAGGTACATTGACTGAAGTTGCTCAAGATGATCATCTGAGCAATTGTTTCTAGGGCTACAGCCTACAGTGGTGCACTGGTGCAAATGGCAAACAGCATTTGTCATATACCACTTTTGACGTTTGGAAAGGCATGACCACCAAAAATAGGCTTGGCAATAAAATAAACTGTGGTTGTGACATTTTAGCGCCACACCATCCCCATAATTGCTTCATTTGGTGCATGATCTGACAAGCCCATCCGTAAAGTAATTCTTAATACGCGAATTCATTCCCCAACCTATCAAAGCCCAAGGCAGAAACTAGTGACACTGTGACACGCTCATTTAAAATATTTAATAAACTGACAAAGAACCATAGGCCCATAGCAGTGTGACACTCACTAGACGTCATAACTTCAACCTGCACCCCATGATGTCACATACTCACTGGCTCACTGGAAACTTTTCTTGCTCCTCTGTTGTTAACAACACCCAAGTCAAAGTCAAGGTATGCCTTCGTTTTCAGTTTTTAGTTTAACTGTGCGTAAAATGTTTCCTTTGAGCTTCAATCAGGCCTGCTCCGTCTCCTTTGGTAAAGAATGACCTAGGAAGACTTTTCGAGGATTTGGACTTTATGTTTCAGTTATTGACTAAATGATTTTTGTTATTATGTTAGTCTTGGCACTAATTGAATTTGCCTAGTTGTGTTTTGGCTAGAATTTGGTAAATTGATTCTTTTCCTCACTTATTGGAGGTTGAATCATACTCCCTCCGCCCCCCTAACTTTGTCTCGTTTTACCTTTTCTGTTCGTCCCATTAAGTTTTGTCCCGTACCATAATTGGTAATAATTGGGTGGTTAGAATTCATTCTTACTTTATTTACACTTTATCAATTCAAATACCAACCATACAATTCCACTTTGTCTTAAAAGTTGTGTTACACCCTCTTGTCCCAAACATAGTGGGACGGAGGTAGTATAAAATACATATTGTCTATAGTCTATACTTCACATTAGTACTTGTCTACTTGTTACTTTTCAAGTCCTGTGGCGATGCCATAAATGCACCATTGCCATGGGCCGCACGGCAAACCGGCTCGCAACCATACAGTATGGTAACTATGAATTTTAAAATATATGGTTTTCTACTTTTCTTTATTTTATAATTAAAAATATGTTCTAAATGTTTACATCATAATTCATAAACTTCAGCAACTTCATTAGGATCAGCAGCAACTTCAGCAAAATTGCCCTTGCGAAAAATTCAGCAAAATATTGATATGATCAATGGTGCATTAGTGCAGAAACCATTGCCAAGTACCAGCTAGCTCGAAATCTAGTTCTAGTAAAAAATTACTAGAGTGCTGCTACAACAACAACACCCAAGCCTTAATCCCAAAAGAATTTGGGGTCGGCTAACATGAATCGATCTATGATATCTATGCCAAAAAGAGAAGGCGGACAAGAAAAGGAAAAAAAAAGTAAGATAAAATGAATAAAATAAAGATACATAAATATAAGATAACAATAACACAAGAATATAACCAAGATAAAAGAAAAATAAATAAAAGAGCATAAAAAAGCTAGAAGATAAAAATAACATAAGAATATAAAAAGATAAGGAAGATAAACGATAAAAGAAAAAAGAGAGGAAAGGTAGACAAAACATCAATCGTCCACATGGATGTGCGCCCTCCACTTTGCTCTCTCCAAAGCCATACTCTCATCCAACCCAAGAAGACGCATATCAGTTCTGATTACTCTAATCCAAGTCTGTTTGGGTCTTCCCCTCCCTCTCTTCTCTGACTCTTCTCCCCACCCCTCAAGTCGTCTAACAGGTGCATCACTCGGTCTTCTATGCACATGCCCAAACCAACGCAAACGAGACTCCTGCATCTTATCTTCTATAGGTGCTACTCCCACCTTTTGTCTGATTACCTCATTCCTCAGACGGTCTTTTCTGGTATGTCCACACATCCAACGCAACATACGCATCTCTGTCACACTCATCTTTTGAATGTGGCATTGCTTCACCGCCCAACACTCTACGCCATACATTAATGCCGGCCTAATTGCTGTACGATAAAATTTACCTTTCAATTTAGTCGGCATACTTCGATCGCATAGAAATCCTGAAGCACTTTTCCATTTCATCCACCCAGCTCCGATTCTATGACATACATCTCCATCTAATTCACCATCCTTCTGAATTATGGATCCCAAGTAACGGAACATATCACACACCGGTATCTCCTTACCATCAAGAGTAATCCCACTGTTGCTACTGCTTCTACCTCCACCAAACTTGCACTCCATATACTCTGTCTTGCTTTGGCTCAATTTGAAACCCTTGCTCTCCAATGTTTGTCGTCATACTTCCAACTTTGCTTTAACACCGGATTGTGTCTCATTTGTCCCTTATTGCTTGTTTCACCTCATCATTCCACTAAGATGTGTCCTTTTTTGGTGGCAGACATCCTTTAGATTCTCCGAGTATCTCCTTCGCCACTTTGTTAATGGTGGACTCCATTGGTAACCACACATCATCCACGTGTGCGTCATTATCAATAGACCAAACATCTTCCTCCAACATTTTGTGTGCAAAACTTTGTTGGAGATTCCCCTCGAGCCTCCACCATTTTATCTTTGGCTCCCCTTGTACCTTAACTCGTCCACTCTTTTTACCTCGAAAATCAAGCACAAGCATCCTATGCTGGGTGACAGCACTCTCACCTGGGATAACCTTACAATCAGTGTAGCTAGTTCTCCAAGTCGTCCGTACTAAAAAGTAGTCAATTTGGGTACTATTAGCTCCACTTCTATAGGTGACAAGGTGAGAGTCTCTTTTCTTGAACCAAGTGTTCATCACAGCCAACTCATATGTCGAGGCAAAATCCAGAATGTTCTTCCCTGCTTCATTTCTAGTGCCAAAACCATGTCCGCCATGGACACTCTCAAAACCATCACGACTTGGGCCCACATGCCCGTTGAGGTCGCCTCCTATGACCAGTTTCTCTCCCCTTGGCACTCGTCGCACCACTTCCTCAAGATCTTCCCAAAATTGTTGAGTGATAGATGCATCCAATCCCACTTGGGGTGCATAGGCACTAACCACGAACACAATCTCATCCCCTATTATCAACTTAATGCTCATGATGCGATCGTTCTTCCTAAACACTTCAACCACACCGTCAACATAATCATGTGCCACCATAATGCCTACTCCATTTCTGTTCCTCTCTCTCCCCGAGTACCAAAGCTTAAAACCTCCGGGATTAATCTCGCGTGCCTTTTCTCCAACCCACTTAGTTTCTTGCATGCACATTATGCTGATATTTCTCCTCTTCATAACTTCGGCTATCTCAGATGATCTTCCCGTAAGAGAGCCAACATTCCATGTCCCAAAGCGCAATCAAACACCCTGCCTTCTCTTCTTCACCCCACATCGACCCCCACCATGCCCTTGCATATTTGACACCATCCCCGGGCACTGGAGTGGCGCATCGCTTCCGGGCGACGACCTAGCAGCCTTAGCATTCTTATCACCACACCCAGGCCTATGAAGTGTAGCGCGCCCTTGCCCATTTGACACCACCCCCAGGCGGAGGGATGACACATCGCTTAATAGAGTGCTACTATGCTTCTAAAATTATTTTTAACAATAAGACAAAGAGAGCACACGCTCAATTGTGGTGAAATTGTTATGGACATACCAATGTATGTGTTCAATTGGTCATACAGAACTCAAATATGGAGTATATAACAAAGGTTTGAAAGGTTGAATAGTGCTTTTTCTCCAAATATTCTGAATTTTTTATTACGCAAAAATGACAACCTGACTTTGAGTCCTTATGCCCAAATGACAGATGAGAGGTAAAACCTTAAATCGAAACAAGGCCGGATATTGGAACGTTGGAACACTTCTGAACCTTTTAACTTGCCATAAATAAGATGTATTGTAGTTATTGGCTAGCAATGAACATTACTGATAGGAACCTCAACAAACGTAGCAGAAATTGATGATTTACTGATTATGAAATCTGTCGATTACAACTGAGAATGAAAGAAACGGAAATAAAGAAGAAAACAGATCGAGACAGTTCGAGTCATCTCACACTCCCAAGGCCAATTCCAGATCCAATTTCTGCCTAACTCCCATCTTCTCCCCTTCCCATTCTTATAGTAATTATATATCCTAACGGCCCAGCCCATATTTTATGACATGGCCCGGGATCCTTACTTATACACTATCACACTTATTTAATATACTTCTATTATTATTAGTATTATTATACTAATGGGTTCCTATCATATCTCCCCCCTTAGACAACCACCTTGTCCTCAAGGTGGGTGATAGGAACCGGCTTGGACTTTCAGCTTTACTTTCATCTTTGCGCTTCTTCCTTCCCAGTCCCTCACTGCTTTCTGGAATAGGAGCTTCATTACTTGAACCTTCTCTGTCATTTGCTCAGCCCCATATTTCTCTAAGATTCTCACAGCTTCTTCATGCATCCCATTATTGCCATGAGTTTGGAGCTTTTCCAGCTGGGCAAGTCCTTCACATCCCAGGTCAGATGGTGGGGTTGGCTTGCATCTATAGGAGTTTGACAAAAACCAGGTTGTGGCTTCAACAGCAAGCTTTCCCAAAGCCCAAACAACAGCCTGATCACAAACATCATCATCAGGGAGTGAATTGAGAAATTGTATGAACATAGTAACATCATCCTTCAGCAGGGCAGTAGCACTCTCTACAACTCTGGGCTCACCAGACAGCATATCCTGTGCAATTTGAGAAAAACACCATGGGCTTAACAGGACCCTCTTGCCTTGGGGTGTTAGTTTTACAAATTCCCCAGCACCATCTATGTCTAAGTGTTTAGCCACCCTATTGTGCAATATGGATAATTCTGCCTCACCAAACTGAGGTGGAGTAAGAACTGGCACTCGGGTAGCGTACGCCCATCTATTTTACTCAATCTCGTTAAGCCTCTTGCAACTGGTCATCCCTGAAGTCCAGCACTTAGTGGTCCAATCAATTTCCCTCTTCGACCATAGCCTTCCACTAGCATCTATCTCAACTGGTCCTGCTTGTACACACTCCTTGTTCACATACATCCATTCCGTCCATGGTTTCCTAATTGCAGTTGTAGCTATTAAATTCGACTGCCAAGGTATAGCAGTTCCTTCTGATGCTTCCTGAACTATAAAGTTTTCAGAAATCACCTGGTTCTCCAATTCAGAACCAACAATTTTGTCAACAGCTGACTCATATTCCAGGGAAGTCAAGAATTGATTCGCCACAGCAGATTTCTCCTCTTGTCCTTCATCTTTACCTATGAATGTATCCTCAGAGAGAGGTTTACGTGGATTGACAGACTCCTGTGACTCGGACAGCAAGGGCGAACTGGAAGCTCCTCCTTCTGATCGCGTTGTACCTTGAAGTGAGCTGCTGGTGTATGACGAAGTCTGCGAACCTGGAGATACGGCTTGCGTAGAAGATTGCAAACTGGAAGTAGATATAGGTAAGGAAACCTGTGAACCGGTAGAAACTGTTTGCGACTGCGATTGCAAAGAAATTCCCGATTGTGAACTATGAGATGACGTCCGCGAAGAAGCCAGATAACTCGAAGGAAGTGCTCGCGACAGAGAATAGACCTGCGCAGTTCGCGACAATCTGGGAGAAATAGCTGGCATCTGCGAACTGAAGGACGTTGTTGTCGACCGCAATCGCGACCTCTCTCTGGATCGAAGCTGTTCATTCATCACGGCCATGGGTGCCGCTAAGTTTGCCGCCAAATTTTCCATTGCAGTACGCCGATCATCCACCGATGATCGTAACATCTCTTGTACCTCGGACAGTTTCCCCTTCATCTCTGTCAAATTCCGTTCCAGAGTATCCATGCGAAACTCCATTTTCGCTCTTGTTCTTACCATCCACTACAGAACGTAAGTGTTGCTGAGGTCGCCAATCAATTCCGATCACCAAGAGCTAGTGCTCTGATACCAATGATAGGAACCTCAACAAACGCAGCAGAAATTGATGATTTACTGATTATGAAATCTGTCAATTACAACTGAGAATGAAAGAAACAGAAATAAAGAAGAAAACAGACCGAGACAGTTCGAGTCGTCTCACACTCCGAAGGCAAATTCCAGATCCAAATTCTGCCTAACTCCCATCTTCTCCCCTTTCCATTCTTATATTAATTAAATATCTTAACGGCCCAGCCCATATTTTATGACATGGCCCGGGATCCTTACTTATACACTACCACACTTATTTAATATACTTCTATTATTATTAGTATTATTATACTAATGGGTTCCTATCAATTACACATGAACACTTTTTACACTGATATATATTAGGAGAAATGCATGAAGTGTTTTTTCTCAACAGTCCAACAATTCCTATGAAGCTTTGTCACTAATGCTTAAGCTTCTTCCACCATAGTTTCTCCAGTAAAACATCAGGGAGACAACTAAGAGAAGAAATTACATTCAGCTCAGCAAAATACAATGTGAAACTTCCTTAAGCACAAAAATAAAAAAATAAAAAGTAAAGAAAGAAGCTAGTGTTCCAAAAAACATAATTATTATTATAAGAAAACTAGTCTGCAGTGAGTTGAAATACCTCAGTTTGGTCAGCCAAGATCACAAGTATAGCATCAGACAGTGGATTTACAGTTACCCAATTTCCATCCCTGAGAACTTGAAGCCCAGCAACATCATCTTGGATGAGAAGAGTAATGGTGCCCATATCTGAGTGTGATTGCAAACCAAGAGTAAGCTCCGGTTGTGGGCAGGGAGGGTAGTAACTGAAAGTAATGTTTTGATGCAATTCCCCAACTGCATCTTTGATGCAAGAACAAGGCAGGCCTAGACTCTTGGAGATCAACTCTAGAAGTCTCTCAGCGAGGACTTTCATACAATCGGCATACTGTCCAACAACTCCTCTGATAAAACTTATAATTGTTAGGCAGTTGATTTATTCCACAACAAGTTCTTATGTGATTGTTGAAAAACATTTCAAAATGCATTGAATCCAAGAATGAGGATACCCTACTTAAGCAGAGGAATAAGGAGCCTATGAATAATAATGTAGCTATCAAAATTCGTCCCTCTATCAATTCCCCCAACAATTACTATAACAAATTCAAACAGCAATGAACGAAATGATTTGCAGTAATTGGGTCAGTCTCTGAACGACCAAAATTTGTAGAAATCTATATCCAAGAAACGCAGAAGCGAGGCACACCTGTAATCGGAAGGAAAGTGAGGCCAGCCAGATGGATTGCGACGAGATAGAGGAAACGTGTGGTGATCAAAGTAATCCCTCCAGTCCAAAACGGTGTCGCTAGGAGTAACCAACATTCGGCTGCCATAGCCCTCAGAAGCAGGAAATTTGGGATCGCAGGAGTACCTCATCTTCTCTTTCATGGGATAGTCCTGGAAGAAAGAACGGCCGACGCGCCTAGCATCATCAAGCAATTCGACAGGGACTCCATGGTTTACAACGTGAAAGGCTCCCCATTCTTTGCAAACCTGCCGGACTTCGCCTAGGAGGAGCTCAGTCGGCGAGCTAAGGTTGATCGTCGGGACCGGATGCACGGAGTCATCGGCGTTGACTCGAGGCCTGTTACAGGGTGGTTGTACGTATACCGGCGGCACAAAAGCTTCACCTTTTTGAGCTAATGATTGAACTCTTTCAGTTTGATTCGCATCCGCCATTCGTAGATTACTGCTGTTGTCAGCAGTTTGGGGATTCAGTTCTGCGAACAGACCGTTCAGCCTTACGATAAGGATCCTCTGCGGCTCTGCCAGTCTGCTGTGCGTGCCCCTGGAAACGGCGTCGTTTTAACTATGGGTTTGTTTGGCACATTGGCAATACCCGGCTGGCCAGTTTAGGGGTGCGCAATCAAACCAAACGTTCTTTTGGGGCATTCTATTGAGCATCTTCTATCCTTCTCCGTAAATGCTGAGGCCAAACAACCATTTATTTACAAAGGGAAATCTCTGCTTTTTGCAACGTTTTGGCTGAAATCGCCAAGAAACAAACGGCCCCTATGTCAAACAAAGCTAGTGGTGGATCCACAAACAATAAACATATATTACTCTAAATGTCACCCCTCACTTGTCTAAAATGTCGTAAATGTGGTCCTTTTGAGGAGTGAAATATACAATGTGGCCGAGAATACATTTCACCACTTAAAGGACCACATTTACAACAATTTGAACAATTTCTGACATTTACAATCTCATAAATACAAGTCTGAGATTTTAATTTCGTGAATAACTGAGGGACTATATACGCGATTTTCCCTAACTACTCCGAACAATCCAACACCATTGAATTTCTCGTCATGATCAAGCAGGTTAACAATACCATTTGTTTCTTCCTCTTCTTCTTTATTATGATCTCCAGAAGGTAATCTAAGGTCTATATCCATATTCACAACACACTACTGGTTGGCTTTTACGTATATAACATAATAATATAGTATTATTAGAGACCTCATATGCACGCAAACAAAAAACAAATAACATAAGTGTTATTGGAGCAACTACATCAAAAGTCTTCTTAAGAAACTGGCATGGAACCAAGAAAATCCAAATGCTGCCAACGGGGGGGTTAGTCGTGTTTATTACAACTGGAAAATAGTTTATATTGTGTGCGAGGATAGTTCAATTGGAATTCATACTATATAGGTATAGAATAGGATAACTCACTTGATTTAAAACACTGTTTCTAAAGTAGCTGTATGATGGTTGTGCATGTGATAAATGGTTACATTATATTTGTTCATGTAAGTGTGTGTGCAGATGTCCTTTGAAATAATAAACATAAATGTTTACATAATCATAGATATAAAAACAGCACCCCAGACATCACTGAAACTGAGGCTACTATTATGATGAGACAATGACAGCCCTCTTAACACTCTTAGCTTATAAAATGAATAACTTTCTTGCATCAAGGGGAAAATGCTTTAGTTCAAGTGTAATATAAAAGTGGTTCTAATTCTTGAAACTATGTTTGGCCACTCAACTAACAAGCCAGTCTACACATTGATACAATTATGGCATTTCACATTTGTACGTTTATACTCCAAATCAATAGTTCCCAACACCAGAACAGCACAAATGTGCTTGTTTTTATTACCTCTCAACTTGTAAAAGGGAACATGGAAGCTCGGGCTGACAAGCTGGATAGAAACTTAAAAACCAGCTATGTTTTTTGAAACATACTCAATATGCCACATTTTACAAATCTTACTTTTTCGTCCCATAAATATTCTCATTATCTTTATATTTTTTCCTACTTCACTACCTTTTTGGATTTAAAATTTGAACGATGTGGTAACTTTTTATAAAAACTGTCTAAACTATAGTAGATGGAATTAGACCCCCAATAAATATCATTTGAATCCTCAACTTGAGAGCGTACATGTACCAACCCAACATTTGCTGTACACACCCTATTTTTAACAGAACAAGTAGATGCAATCAGGCAAATAGAAAGTTTACTGATATTCACTCCTTTTTTTTAAAGAATAACAAATCATGAGGTTCCAGTACACTCAAAATCTCAAAAGATAATCCATGATTCTACATACCAATATACCACTAAAACACAGTTTTTTTTTAATAAACCACTAAAACACAGTTATTAACTAGAAGATTCTTCTGGCAAGGTATAAAAAGGTATAAATATGTATTCTCTAACCAGGATTTATGGTTATTAATAATTAGATAGATAGGATAATCTGTGACAATTCACCAGTAATCACAACATGAGCATTTCCCATTTTCGAACCGATGAAATCTGCTTCCATCTCTAAAAACGATTTGCCTTTCCGTAACCATGGCTATCAATTTGATCACACTGTGACAATCGTTGCATATTCTATGGTTCTGAACAAGTTGCAATGGTGTACCACTTGGGGTGTTTATAAGCCCAAAGGAAAGAGCCAACTTTTCGCTGTGATAGAAAAGTGACTTTTGGTCATGTTCATCCACATCAGGAAGCAGAGTCTTTCCCTTGGGAGCATATCCATGTTTCGAGATCTCGAGCATAAGATTGTCAAGATTCTCATATATATCCTTCATTTGGACATGATATTTGTCTGAAGAAATAAAAACCTCTTGCTTCTTTTTTATCTCTATCCAAGTGCAAGCAGGCATAAGAGTCAAACCTTTTCCTTTAAGTGTTTGAACAACTTCTGCAGCTTCTTCATGCTTCCCCAATTTATTGTAAATGTTGAGAAGGACTACATAATTGCCAAGCTTCTTAGGTTCCATTCCGTAAAGTTGCTCGGCTGCTAATTTCCCCAGAACAAAATTCTTGTGGATCCTACATGCGGTCAATAAGGCAGCCCACATGTTCAACGTGGGCCTAAAAGGAGCGTCTCTTATCAATGAGAGTGCTTCATCCAAATTACCTTCTCGCCCCAATAGTTCAATCATGCATACATAGTGCATTGCCTTAGGCCTCACTTTATAGTCTCTATGCATAGAGTTGAATATCTCCCATCCACTGTCTGTCAGGCCTGAATAGCTACAAGAAGATAGAACGGCTAGAAAGGTGACATGGTTGGGAGACATTCCTTCAAGAACCATTTTTTCAAATAATTGAACTGCTTCCACCCCCCTCCCGTGGCTACCATATCCAGCTATTAAGGCATTCCAGGATATGACGTTCTTTTTGGGCATTCTGTTGAACACAGTCTGTGCATCTTCTATCCTTCCCCATTTGCAGTAGAAATCAACAAGAGTTGTATTGGCAACTATGTCTAAAACAAAGCCATGACGGACTAGCCCAGCGTGGGCTTGTTTTGCATGCTCTATTGAAGCTAACCTTGTGCACACTCTTACAATGATTGAGAATGTAATATTGTTCATCTGAACCCCAGCTTCTTGCATTTCATAGTAGAGACTTAAAGCTTCTTCACTATATCCATGAAGGGCATAACCAGAAATGATGGTGTTCCATGCAACTACTGTCTTCACTGGCATTACATCAAAGATAAACTGAGTGTCTTCAATGCTTCCACACTTGTTGTACATGTCCATTAAGGAACATGATATATATACATCATCACGAAGACCACACTTCAATGCACAACCATGCAATTGTTGGCCTGGAGAAATAAGCTCCAAACCTGCGGCTGCTCGGATCATCGGGGTAAGCATCCTCGGCCCGACATCTGAGTAGTCCAGCTTGCTCATGAATAGCCGGAAAGCACCAATGTAATCATGTGAGGCTACTAGCCCTTCAATCATTGTGCACCAAGAGACATCGTTTTTCAATGGCATTTCATAGAATAGGTACCGCGCTTCATGCACCATCCCACATTTAGCATGCATTAGCAACACCCTGTTCCTCATATACAGGTCGGGTTCAAAGCCTGAATGGACAATGTAGTTGTATAGCCGCTTAACACCTCTAATGGATTTCAACTGAATACAAGCGTTGATCAATGCATCAAAGGTATCTTTACCAATATCATAATCACCTTGACGATCTAAAATATTAAAGAATTCGAGAGCTTCGCGATACCTTTTGTGCAGAACCAGCTTCTTAATCTCCGCACATATGCTAGGGATCATATCCACCTTTGGAGTTGTGCCCTCCATGCGAATTTCTTCACTCAAAGCATCCTTCTTCATCGTCTTCTTCTCACTCTGCTTCTCTTCAGAGGGTTTGGCCATGGGACGGGGTTTAACCAACCCGGACAGCAAAAGCGAGCATTTGACCCGGGAAAGTGTGCTCCGGTGCTTCTTACCCCCGTTCAAAAAGAAACACGTAGAAATTCGGAACTTTTTAGAACCCCCCGGTGAACGAGCATACAGGCAGCCACTCTGAATGCGATCGAGAGGCAGAGCGAAATCCATGGCCGGGAAAAGAACGGTAAATCGAGGAAGGAACAATACCTGCTAAGCCCAGGATGTAATTATAAACATCGGCGACTTCCACCAATCACAGTCAATTCTAGTGAGACTGGAAGCGTGAAAGCCGCCAGGGTATTGGATAGAAATGCCACGCTAGGATCAGTAACCGGAGCAGCAAAATGCGCAGCTTTACTCTCTCGCCGGCGGCATCGGATCTGTCAATTTGACAGTTATAAATGCTTGAGTTGTTGGGAAACATCAGAAGGTGTTGTCTACTTGTCTACGGATTCAGGGCGGGGAAGCATTGGAGAATCCGCTCTCCTCTGTTTTTAACTAAAGTTACGGCATGGTCCCTTAATCGCATTTTTATATTCAGTTTTGACCCCATACCTTTCTGAAAAATGAAAACATCCCTAATATATTTTTGTAAAGAACCTTAGGACTTAACAAAATGAGCCACCCTGGTCCCTGTGACCCGCAAGAATCACCGAATATTACCCACCATAACCTAGTTAGATAGTACTATTTGAAATAGTTATAACTCAAATTTATATAAAATTTATCTTCGAATAATTATAAGAAAATGATAAGCCAGTCACAATATACATTGATGTATACACTTAGTACGTGGTATAATAAATGAATATATAAAATATTAAATATAAAAAAGACACTAAAATTAACTGTTTATTTACTTCAAGTGTAAATATTATGGAGTAATACTTCGTATATCACAAGATCAAGGATTTTTTTATTTATTACACACACATGTCCATGTGATTTTTTATCAAGGAGTTTAGTCGTGATGAGTCAGTATGAGTCAATATTAATATTCATACACATCCCATCACGTGTATGGGACAGATCGAATCAAACTCAATCCATTTGACCAGATTTGCTCAAATATATCGAGACAAAGCGAGTCTTTATGGGTTAATTTTTTACATGCCTAAATGCCTAATCTTGACACATTTTGAACATTTAAAGTGGATTCAGTTCTCAGA